AAAATGATATGAAAAACAGACTGACCTACATTATGTTTGGACCAGTAGAAACCCAGGATGTGACACATCACATGCATCAAGTATTTAGTATTGATTAAGGGTTTATTTGAACAGTTTTAAAAAGTAGGTAGGACCAAATGGTAGTCAGAAATATGCTTGATCTATTTCAGGATCATGAGATAGTCCTTGTAAAAGTGGATTCCCTGTGAGCGACCCCTAGCCTTACAAAGTTTGAGAACCACGGAGTAAAAATCTAAAATAGAGATGCTCAGTGTGGAAGTTATGTGTTTCCTTTCAGTATTATCTGTTTATATAAAAGTGTTACATAAACTGTGCATTAGCACCCCATCTGGTCTCATATACTTACTTTATCCAGTACTTATCCAAGCTAAACTTCAATACTGAGCAAAACTTTCCCGTTCGTATAGAAATGCTGTAACTCAGCATACCTCCTCCCACTGATGGATGTAACGGATGAGTCTAGACAGCCTCAGCAGACGCAGCAGACTGAGGATCTTCGTGAAGCGGACAATGCGGAGTGCCCGTGCAGTTTTGTACACCTCTGAGTCAATCCCCTTCTCCACGATGAGGAAGATATAATCCACAGGTATGGAGGAGATGAAGTCCACCACAAACCAGCTCTTCAGGTACTTCTTCTTGATCTTCTTGGGGTCGAGGATGATCTCGGTGTTGTCCTCGAACACGATACCAGTCCTAAAGTTGAGTACTAGGTCCATGAGGAAGAAGGTGTCAGAGACCACATTGAAGATGATCCAGGGTGTGGTGGTCTCATCTTTAAAGAAGGTGATGCCTACAGGGATGATGATCAGGTTGCCAACCATGAACATTAACATGGTGAAGTCCCAGTAGAACCTGTCAGGACGAAAGAGTAGAAGATGATTAAAGGCGCTTGTTTAATCCCAACACGTGCAAACAAAGGGCAGTATAGGGCCATGTGTACAACTCTGCAATCTAATAGAGAAAAAGATGTAATAATAAAGTAATAAAGGCGAAATATCTGATGCTATGCATATGAGAAGAGAAACCATGTCTAAAACCTGATGTCCAGACATTGACAGTGTTGCTACATGTTATGGATATCACATATCAGGAAAGACGCTGATTCTGCTTGATTTATGACACGGGGTAAGCATATTTCCGGCCCTCTCTGTGTCATGAAGCGATGCACTCTCACAGGCTGAACACACTCAGAAAACTAACCCAATCCAAACTGATAAATCTTTCAAATTTTATGAAATGCCTGATAGTTCCTTCACTTTACCCCATTAACCACAACCATGCAAAGAAAAGACAACTAAAGCAAAAACAGCAGAATACCCTCCAAACAAGTCAAGCACAAACAACAACCGGAGCCCAAATCAATAAAGCAGCCTTCACGGCTGTGGTGTTGTGCACCATCACCTATTTCCAGTAGTTAGTTAATGTGATATTTATTGGTTTGAACAAACATTCACACAGTAGCCAGTCACGCCACAGCATTAGGTGCTGAATTATGAGAAGCTGTGTTTTAAAGATAATTCAGCTGGTGAACTGACCATGTGAGGCATCTATGAATATTCCTCTGTTTATTAAAGTAAGAAAATTGTGTAAGTATTTTTATATAACTTTACTCAACTTACCTATTATTAACTGGCAGATTAATTATGAACGATGGTTGTTAGTGTTGCAGGATAAGAGGAAGACACTGTGGCTACTTATATTAGAGGAACTAATGGAAGCGGCTGCTGAGTCATGACTTGAACTCTCTTGTTATGCGCATCCTGATGTTGAGCTTTGTCTGTAAGTTAACACGATCAAGCTCTGTATTGTTAATAAACAGCAGGCTTTACATATTTGATGGTACTCAAATAAGAAAGACAAGAAACCTGGTTTCCCCACATTTTATTAGAGGAGCTGTCCTCGGTGCTGAAACCAAGACATTTAGAGTCAACTTTGTGACACCTCTGGAATATGGAGCTTTTGTGTAAACACAAAATCTCCCATATGTCATCATTCGGTGCTTCAGGAATAGAGAAATAGCTCTGTTTATGATAGGGTATGGTTCAACTTTTTCCCCCAGATAATTTGAGTGTTTAAAAATAGCATATTTATGTTCATATTCCCACAATCTTCACATATAATGTTGTTTGACGTAAAGAATGGGCGCTGGGCAACATTCAAAAACACCCCTTTAGCTTCTTTACAGCAACACTTTCACTGCCCTAACACAATTTGACCCATACCTGAAGTCGCTGTATGGGTGGATAATCCAATTACCCGCTGACTTTACGCGTTCTTGTTCTTTCTCCACTGCCTTCTGGCTGCCAAACATGCGCAGGGAGAATTTATTAACTCCAGGCTGAAGCATGGCACTAAACTGCCGCTGCATGTATGTCTGATTCCCCTTGGACTCTCCATCATCCGGCACTATCTGAGAGCCGTCCTCTGCTTTGCTGAACGTGACAGAACTTCTTGGCTGCTGAGCCAGTCCTTTACTACTCGGGGGGTTGGAGAAGGAAACTCTGGAGTCCTTTTTCTCCGTTGTTGCCGTCGTCTTGACCTCGGCCCCAGGCCCCTGTGTCAGGGACCCTGCTGAAGTGACAGAGCCGTCCATGCTCGCAGCCAGCTCCTTATCGTCTTCAGCTGCTACTACTCCATCTGCCTGCTTCTCCTGTCTTGAGATGAGAGAAGAAAGACTGCCTGAACTGGCCGGGTCTCTTCTACAGTCTCCGTTTTTGTTGCATATCATACCGATGCCCCCCTCTCCTATCACGCCCGCCTCAGACACTGTGTCCCCTGCACTCCTGTGGTCTGACTCTGTGCCGCCAGCAGCATCCCTCTGGCACAACAGAGCAAATGCACAGCTGCCGCTGGGAGTGAAAGGTGTGGAGTCCTCGCCTCGCAAAAGGAAGAGCTCATTGTTGTTGGAGTTTTTTCGCACAGGAGAGACGGCTCCGCCTCCTGGCGAGAATTTCTTCATATTGGTCCCCCTGCTACTCCCATGATCCTCGCATCCAGCCGAGCTGGCTACTTGAAGGGGTCGAGCCTTCTGGAATTTGGGCTCCTCCTCGCTGTCCTCCGCCTCGTCCATTACAGGCAAACAGACACTTCCGTACCTTAAACCGGGCGAGACTGGGCGGCGGCAGAGGAAGGAGTGTGGACTTCAAAGCCTCCGTCTGCTTTCCATTCACATCACTTAACGGCGTACCGGTGGCGTTGCTATGGCTGCAACCTGGCTGTTGTTATTGTGTTTGTGTGTGGTAGAGAGAGGGAGAGCGATAACAGCTTTACCCTGGGGCTTCAACCACCTACAGGTAGCTTTCAGCCTACTGAAGAAAATGTGCGCACAGAAGAAAACAGTTTTGTCAGACCTGGACACAAAAAGTCAGTGAATGCGATTTTAAAAGTGAATTCTTATTAACTAATTAAATAACCCACAAATGCATTTTTAGAATAACTCAAACTTGTGTGAATGGAAAACTATGATGATTAAAAAAAAACTTTTAATATGCAGTGATGGCCTGAGCAGTTTTACATCAAAAGGAATCATCAGCGAGTATCCCATGCTGCCATGCTCAGTTGACCCAGTATCAGTTCAGTTCTATCTAGACTTTCTCGGAGTCTGGCAGCAGCGTCTGCCTGTTGCTTTGGTTTCTGGCAGCCTTCCCAAGTTGTGGGGTTTTTAATGGTGAAATGACTCCACCTTGTGGATAAAGGCACAATCTAGGGCCAAGGCACTCATGAGCAGTGTAAAGATTTAGAAAAAAAACCATCATATTTGCTACTAGTTTATCTTTTTTGTAGTAAACCCTAGGCTATGTCCCAATTAAGAGACCGCACTCTTGAAGTACGCATTTTGAGACCTATTACGTCACAGCGACGCGACAGTGGCTGTCCCAATCCAAAGTGTACCCCAAATGCGCCGTCGATTTCCCCAAATATCAAGCGTGGTCAGTGTTGCCAACTCGTCAGTAAGGAAAATCGCTATTGGTTGTCCTAGAAGTCGCTAGAAGGCGCTAAATGACGTCATCGCCTAATTTGCATAATTGGTCATGCTAATGTAATTGTAACCTACGCTGCTGGAGAGAGAAATAACATCGTGGACGAGACATAAAGTGAGCAAAAAACGTCCTAAATGCATTTAGAATTTATTTAGAACTACAAATTAAATTTCTTTTAGCAATTATTGTTTTTTGTAATGTCACAATTCCAACCCTGCTCCTTTACCCGGGCTTGGACCGGCAAAAGCGACCCGAAATAGGCACTCTGGTGGAGTTACTTTGTGTATGTGTGTTTATAAGTAGTTTTAAACCTGATCCACAAAACAGCATAAGAGTAAAAGAAGAACTGACTGCGTTACAGCACCCGCTGCTTGTTGAGAGTAAAAGCGATATGCGCTTTCACG